ATATATATATACACACACACATATATTGCATATATTGCACATTAATATGTGTGTATGTATCTTGTATGCATATGTACTGATACTAACACACTGCATAAACTCTATGTATAAAAACATGTAATACACATACAAATAATCATAACAAGTGTCCAAAAAGTTCCAGAACGGTCAAATGTCTCGAAAATAAAGCAGTTCCGGGATTTTTTGGACACCCTGTATATGTAACTATATATATATGTGTGTGTGTGTGTGTGTGTATTGATTAAAGTATATAATTAGCAAAATTTTAATTAAAATGATTAATTTAATTTAATTAGTTAAGTTGGACATAAATATACTAAAGGTAATCTTCTCTTATAATTTTTATAATTTTTACAATTAATTTAATAAAATGCTGTTGCCTTACCTATTATTTATCGCAATACTGTATTATAAATAATAAATATATATATATATATATGCTGTACATTTCTTTCGCTATTTCTTGATAAATGTTAATTGGTCTTTACAACTCATAAAGGAAGTACATTTATTACGAACTAAACAAGCTAAAGTTTTGGAAAAAGTCAAATAATATTAATATTAATATTGTACTGATGATCAGTTTGCTTCTTTTGGCGGATAAATTTTGTCTTTAGGACGTGCAAAAACATTGATATTATTGTTCAGCATCAATTTGTAACCGTGACTCAAGTCATATACGAACAGCAAACATTTTTCATTATGTATTTTTGCATCTTAATTAGAATTAAAAGTAAAAAAAATTTGCCGATGATGTTCAGTAAGCTCAATGTAAGATTATGAATTATTCTGCCTAATTTTTATAAAATACGTGACAAAACATATGTTGTAATCTAATTTAATATTTCCTAAAATTCTGTTCAATCATTAAATATCTATATCAATTGCAATATATTCAATGATTTACTCGTGAAATTATTTAATTAGGAATTCATATATTAGCTTTTTTATATTTTCTTCTAAATTGATTTAATGAAATTATTATTTATTATAGTAGTGTGAACATCCAAAAGATATTGGCACAGTTGCTTTAGTTTGGACTCAGAATTTCCTGACAATAAAAAATCAGATGCTGAGGATGAAAAAATTTCTTGTCAAAATAGAAAGCGAAGTAAGAACATTTAAGTTGAATTTCTAGCAAAACTGATAAACACTAATAATATAAGTATATGTTCAATAAAACATAAAATAATGTACTATCCAAATAAATTAAAATTCCAACAATTTCAAAACTTAAAATAAAAATCTAAAATTGCAAATATACAAAAATAAAAATATAAAATAAAATGCAATGTAATTTACCTTTTTATATAAGAGAAAAAGATTTAAAATAAATTTAATTATTAAGAATGATATAAAGATTATGTAATAATACATATGTAAATTAATCAATAATTAGAAACACATAATCTTCAATTGCAATTTTTTGAATTTACATTAATAAAATACAATTTCTTGGCGTATGTAACCATTTATTTTTCACGGTATGTTCCATGTACGTTTACACGACACATTTTTCTCGTTACTTATTCAAAGACGTTGACTTGTATACATATCTCAATAAGACAATACAACTATTGGGAAGAAAATAAATACCAATTTTGAGAAAGATAGAATAATATATATTGTATTGACGAAATATGCCCCTCCTTCCGAAGGAAGGATTAGATGTATCTTCAAAACGTGTTTTCAACGTTCACATTAACGCTTAGCTCTACTTATCTGCAAGTCTTATATCAAGTCTTACACAAGTCTTATATCAAGAGCATACAGTTTTTAACTGTGTGATTTTGCATCTTAAAAGAGAGAAATTTTTCGAAGATGTCCAGTACATACATCGTAAGTTTATAAAATATTCTATTTTTTTATTATAAGACATAGGAAGAAACATGTACTCACATGTGCTGTAATATGTTTATAATACGATTTAACGTTCTGTAACGTCTTATCCTTACTAGAATCTCGTTCGACTGCTAAATGTTAATATGAACTACAATACATTTACTGTTATACTCGCAAATTTATTTGTCTAGTAGTTTACATTAATTTATATTTACTTCTAAATTATTTTAAGGTAATTATTACTTTTTATAGGCTTACAGTGAAGAGGAGAAACTTTTGCATAGTATTCAAAATTTCCTAGAAATGAAACAACTGATGTCGAAAATGCAAGAATTTCTAGTCAAAACAGAATGCGAAGTAAGAATACATTTAAGTTTTGCTTTTAGCATAACGGATAAAAACTGATAATGTAACTGAATAGTAAAAGATTACATAATGCATATTATCCAGATAAATAAAGATTCGGAATTTTATAAGTCAAAATATATATAAATGTATAAAGTTATTCAAATATATAATATAAAAATAAGAAATATAAAGTGTTAAAATGTAATTTTTTTATTTTTCTTATTTTACAAGAAAAATAATAAATTTAAAATAAATTTTATTAGTAAGAAGGAAATAAAATTTATGCAATAAATTAAACATTTAACATGTTTATCGCGGTGTACAATTTTCTATGTTCTTTAGCAGACAACGCGGCATTTAATATACGATATTCTGTTTCACGTGTCAGTTAAGTTAAAACTAAACTATTGAAAACTAAAGAAACTATTAAATAACACATGCTATATGCAAATTAAAAATTAACGCAAAATGATGAAATTATTATGATAATACAAAAGATTAGTAACTATGTATGAGCAAAAACAAATTATTTGGATACTTTAAGCAAATTTAACATGACTATTTTAGAAATCACAATTCTGTGAGAAGATGGGGTTAGACCTCTATTTGAAGAAAGATTTTCGCCAAATCACCGGTAGCTGCCATGCACGCAGTGCACTTAGTACTTTGTTAAATCTTTCGCTCGAGCAGAAAGATTATGGTGTGATAACGGCTTTGGAAGAGGATGCTTTGCCTCTTTGCTATTTTGGAGAAAAATTGAATGTACCAGTAACAATAGTGCTGCCAAACACAACGTCATTAAGTAAAATTTATGCATTGGAGCAATACCAATATACTAGCAGCACATTATTTATCCAAGGCAACAATTCAGATGAAGCCGAAAGAATCGCTTCCGATTTAGCGATAATGAACAACATGTATTGCATTAAAAGGTATTCCAATTTTCATCTACAGTTTTAAAACATATTGGTGAATTTTCTTTATTCGATTTGTCAACTTAATTTAAAATTACATTACATTAATATAATGATAATACCACATACCTAAATTTTTAATGCAGTTATATAAAAATAGTATGTTAAATTTAATTTATTTTTTAGTGTATTAAACAAATAAATTAGCGCATTAATATTTAAAGGATAATTTGATGTAATAATGTTATAAAAATGATTACATTTTCATTGAAATTACGTTGCTTTATTTTTATTAAACTAACTGATCTAATTTTTTCTTAGTTCATTAATTTTTGTTGTTTCTACAATGTTTTCACTTAATTTTAATAGCAATTTTTCGAAGTTACTTTCTTAAATAAATTACCTTCTCAAAAGACATTTTTCGTGTAGAGATGATAGAGCGAGATTTATTGGCTACGGAACTATAGCTATAGAAATTGCCGAGCAAGTGCCAAATCTTGACATAATTGTGGTGCCATATGACGAACCAATATTCACAAGTACTGTATCGGTCATAAAAGTTCTTAAACCATCTGTCAAAGTTATCGTAAGTCAATGTACATATTTCAATTACAATATTAATATAAAATATTGTTTAATACTTTACTTTATAATAATTTTAGATTGCAGCAGACAAAAGTATCAATTCAATGTCAATATCCTCTTCGAAGTTCTTTCAATCAATCCAACTATCACCTTCGACACTGCCGACACCAGATTCGATGTCAAGTCAAGTTATTTCTATAAGCCCGACATCATCTATGGAGTCAGACATGTACACGTCATCATCTATAAGTGTATCCATACCAACGTTTACGTCAGTTCAAACATTATCTTCTGCAGTTGAAATGACACCATCTTCTGCATCAACTGAAATGTTATCCTCTTTAACTAAACCGATATCATCTTCTGCGTCAGTTCAAGAGTTATCCTCTTCCACTAAACTGACACCATCTTCTGCGTCAATTGAAACATTATCTTCTACAGTTGAATTAACATCATCTTCTGCATCAGTTAAAGAGTTATCCTCTTCCACTAAACTGACGCCACCTTCTGCATCAGATAAAATGTTATTCTCTTCAACTAAACCAAAATTATCTTCTGCGTCAGTTGAAGAGTTATCCTCTTCCACTAAACTAATACCACGTTCTGCGTCAGTTGAAACATTACCTTTTACAGTTGAATTAACATCATCTTCTGCATCAACTGAAATGTTATCCTCTTCAACTAAACCAATATCATCTTCTGCGTCAGTTCAAGAGTTATCCTCTTCCACTAAACTGACACCACCTTCTGCGTCAATTGAAACATTATCTTCTACAGTTAAATTAACATCATCTTCTGCATCAGCTGAAACGCATTCCTCTTCAACGAAACCGACACCATCTTCTGCATCAGATAAAATGTTATCTTCTTCAACTAAACCGACACCATCTTCTGCGTCAGTTAAAACATTACCTTCTACAATTGAATTGACACCATTTTTTCCATTATTTGAAACGCATTCCTCTTCAACTCAACCGACATCATCTTCTGCGTCAGTTGAAACATTATCTTCTACAGATGAATTAACATCATCTTCTGCATCAGTTGAAATATTATCCTCTTCAACTAAACCGATATTATCTTCTGCGTCAGTTGAAGAATTATCCTCTTCCACTAAACTGACGCCACCTTCTGCATCAGATAAAATGTTATCCTCTTCAACTAAACCGCTATCATCTTCTGCATCAACTGAAATGTTATCCTCTTCAACTAAACCAAAATTATCTTCTGCGTCAGTTGAAGAGTTCTCCTCTTTCACTAAACTAACACCACGTTCTGCGTCAGTTGAAACATTACCTTTTACAATTGAATTAACATCATCTTCTGCATCAGTTAAAGAGTTACCCTCTTTCATTAAACTGACACCATCTTCTGCGTCAATTGAAACATTATCTTCTACAGTTGAATTAACATCATCTTCTGTATCATTTGAAACGCATTCTTCTTCAACAAACCCGACACCAACTTCTGCATCAACTGAAATATTATCCTCTTCAACTAAACCGATATCATCTTCTGCGTTAGTTGAAACATTATCTTCTACAGTTGAATTAACATCATCTTCTGCATCAGTTGAAACGCATTCCTCTTCAACGAAACCGACACCATCTTCTGCATCAGATAAAATGTTATCCTCTTCAACTAAACCGCTATCATCTTCTACATCAACTGAAATGTTATCCTATTCAACTAAACCAAAATTATCTTCTGCGTCAGTTGAAGAGTTATCCTCTTCCACTAAACTAACACCACGTTCTGCGTCAGTTGAAATATTACCTTTTACAGTTAAATTAACATCATCTTCTGCATCAGCTGAAATGTCATCCTCTTCAACTAAATTGATAGTATCTCCTGCGTCAACTAAAATGTTATTCCCTTCAACTAAACCGATTTTACTTCCTTTGCCAGAGCAAATATCATTTTCTTCAACTAAACCGACATCTGTTGGATCAACTCAAATGGTACCCTTTTTAAAATACTCGAGATTATTGCGAAAATCAGTTTCGGGTTCAAATTCGCTGCAGTTACAAAAAGAAGAGCCATTAGTTAATAAAGACATTACTGTAGTTGTATTAACGGATAAAGAGATAGATACCTCAATTTTGAATTTGTTTGAAAAGGAACAATGCATTGTAGACAGATTTGGTGTGATGAGTTTAGCGGCTTGCTTAAAGACTGATGACCCTTCGTTTGAAGCGTATAAAAATAAAAGGTAAAAGTAAATTTGATAAACTTTCTTTAAAATTTAATGTCTTTCTTTAAAATACTTATTTTTAACGATATACAAAACTAAGATTTAAATTTTTTATTGAAAGTCTCGAATAACTTATTTTTTGTGGCAGTATGTTTTTTATGATAATATATATATTTATATATATATATTTAATTAAATTTGACTTTTTTAATCAATTATTCTTAAATTTATTAATTGAATACCTATTATCGTACAATCGTAGGCATTTTAACGTGTTACCGTTATAATAGTAGTTGATCTTTGATTGATAGCGTAATATGAAAATTTTATATTTCAGGATAGTGTCCCTATTGACCAACTGTAACGACGATATATCCGTTTTACCCAGAATTATAGAGCGAGCATTATTCGAAGACAATCGCTTTGTGAAAATGTCGACAGAAAGTGTTTCGGAAGATGAATTGATCTCCATTACACAGTTTTTTAATATAATGACAGAGAAGAACTTATCTCTGAAGAAAATAACATGCAAGCGAGAGTTTGTAACGTTTGGCAAGATGAAAATTAATGCTGTCTGTGAGCCGAGTTTTCAATGAAACATAGTTTTAGAAAATTTTACAAATGCTACACATGCTCCAGTATAATCGAAAGACAGTTATCGAATGATGAACACACTAGCTAGCTATTTTTACACCAAATTGTTAAAGTATCAAGTAATTAATTTTTGTACGATATTTTATATATATTCTTCAATATTGATATCTTTTATTTTTATATAATATTTTTTTTCTTTTGTATACAATAAACATATTTTTAATTTTATTTAATGACTTATTAGTTTTATATTATTAATTTAACTTTACTAATTTTCCTGGCTAGTTATGACTTAATCTTAAATAAAATTATATTTAGTTTTAAATTTTGCCAACTAATATTAATTAAGTTTAATAGATAAATGTAACTAATTATACACTAGACATATTTTAAACACTTTGTGTAGTTCAAAATTATTTTTTACTTTTTTTTAAATATTTAATACTGACTCTTAATAGTAAAACTTAATATCAAAAATTTTCATTTTAGTTATGATACTGTATATATATTACATGTATATATTGCGTGTGCTTGTGTGTACGTGTACTGATACTTACACATTGCATGTGTACTCTACATACATATACATATGTAGGTATATACAGTGTCCCTAAAATTTTGATTCCTAAAAGCGCTCATGTGCAGATAGAACGGACTAAACTGAATCAGAAAGTCCTGTACCATTTTGCAATTTTCGCAACAGTTAACGAGTTATTAATTACTAAAGATCGCCGAATAAGCGCATATCCCAGTCTACCGCCGAATGCAAGCGCGCGGCGAGATACACCTTATATTAATACATGTATAAGTAATACATATATTATACATATATAAGTATATATACATATATATATTTAATTATGTATATCCATTAAAGTATAATTAGCAAACTCTTAATTAAAATAATTAATTTTATTAAATTTAAATAATTAATTAAATTAAATTAAACTGAATATATAAGTACACTAAATATAATCTTCTCATAATTATTAAAAAAAATTTTTTTAATTAATTTAATAAAATGCTGTTGTCTTACAAAGTTACTTGTTATTTATCGCAATATTGTATTATAAATAACAAATATATGTATTGACTCGATGATAACCAATCGGTAATAAATAAAAAAAAATCGTCAACGCGAACATCGCGATGACAATCGACTTGATGACACGTAATAACACGCAAGACGAATCTACCAATTAGCAACGCAGAAAAGAGACCTCAAAAGTAAATAACATGCTTTTTAATAAGGTAGAATTACTTTAATTTTCACGAAAAATGCGTACTTACCAAATATACGTATAGCACATACAGTGTGTTATAATAAAACAAAAAAAAACATGGTAGTTTTTGTTTTACAAGTTTACATACTATTAAAAAATATTCATTAATTTACCATGATTCAATATATACATTAAACAGTCAGATAATACTGCGTCAAAAAATGAATCAGACATCAAGCTAGGTTGGCCGAGCGGTCTAAGGCGCCAGACTTAAGTTCTGGTTCCCGTATGGGAGCGTGGGTTCGAACCCCACACCTGGCAAACTTTTTTTTTAACGAGGCACTTATAAATGAATAACATTATCAAATAGTGTTAATAAAGTTAACAATTTAAAATTATTTTAATATTTTATTTTTTGAATATCATATCTATAATGATATTATATTCATTAATAATATTGATTAATTTAATAATGTCAATAATAAATAAAATTAAAATTTTAAATGAGTTAATATTAAATAATTGAAACATAATACTGATAAGATAAGACTTTTAAAGTTTGCTCAAATAGAAATCAGAATTTAAGTAAGTCTGAACTTAAGCCTTAAATTATTTGACCAACCTAGCGTTTAAGATGTTCTTATAAATATTTACTCATATCTCTGAACAGTCAACACTTTTCTCACAATTATTTTATATGCATACATATAATATATTAACAATATAAAGGAAACTGTTAGAAAAAAATATGGAAACTGTTTTCTAACAATTTTCAAACAAAAGTTTGAGAATGACTCAGCACTATTCGTTAAACTCTTCTTTGTTCAGTGTCTATCTATTGTAAAATTGATATTACATAGCCACATCTATTTTTCGACACTGTCGTTTGATACTTGTTTTGCATGTACGGATTACTAATCTTTGTGGACCAAGTATAGACAGTGTCATGTATATAGATTTAATTATTTAATACAATATAATGTACTTCCAATTCCAAAAGATGTGAACTTTGTGATCAATAATTATGAATAGGCTTGAAAAAATAAGATAAAATTAGTACGTTGCAAGAATAAATACAATTAATAATTATTAACCGCAATACTTTTTAATATATAATTCAATTAGTATATACTATGTAAAATATTTGTTATGTACTTAATGTAGACTTGTTGCATACTTTGTATTTTAAAACATTTTCTTGATATTGTTTTCTTACATCAATTTATAAAATATTTAACCCTGTAAAGATACGGAAATCAAATATTTACTTTAAATTGGTAGAATATTTAAGAGAAAAGAAAAAAAAATAGAAAAATACACTTAAATAATCTTTTGATCAATTTATCAATTTGTTTTTATTTTTGAAATGGATATTTAAGTATATTCTTTCTCCTCTCGTTCTTCATTCTCATTCTTTTATATAAAAATACATATTTAGGTATATTCTTTATTTCTCTTCTCATCTTCCTTTTTAAATATTTTTAAATTTTAAGGTGAGTGTTTGATTCACATATCTTTCCAAGATTTGTATATTTTATAAATTGATGCAAGAAAACAATATCAAGGAAATTTTTTAAAGTACACATTAACAAATGTATATTAAGTATGAATAACAAATATTTTACATAGTATATCAATTAAGTTACATATTAAAAAGCACTTGAGATAATTATGAATTGTATTTATTCTTGCACCAATTTTATTCTTATCCTTTTTAGCGTATTCAAATTTATTGATAACAAGGTTTATATCTATTTTAGATTTGTAACTACATTGTATTGTATTAAATAATTAAATCTATACATGACGTTGTCTATATTTGGTCCATAGAGATACTTTGACCCGTGCATGCAGAACAAATATCAAACGACAGTACCTATCCAGAAATTTTGCGAAATGCACAATGTAACAAGTATAAATTACAGATAAATAAGAAATATTTTATATAACAGAAATTTTTCTAGTCTATTCATATTTACCAATAAAAAGATCCTTATTTATTTTAGAATTGAAACTATATTGTATTGTATTATATAATTAGATCTATCTGGATCACATTTCTGAATCGTGTATCATACATATGTATAGCATGGATACTACACGAAAAAAATTTTATATAAAAAATTACTATATTTCACGTATAAAAAACATAGTAAAAATTTTTATAATTCCTTCATGGTCCGCAGCTACTACCGTACATAATAATTTTTAATATACAATTTTCTCCATGTAGCACATGTATTAAATATACTAAACAGTAGTAATGCAAATTAAATATGATTATGCAATTCAAACTCTAAAATATTATACATATATACCTATAGATAGCAGTATTCAGCAATAAAAATCAATGCCAAATGATCAGATTTGCTCTCAGATTCCTCTTTGATGGCATTAAAGCTATTAGAGCTTAATATTACTTATTATTTTTATTGATTAAAAAAAATTTGTATTATAATTGAGTAAAAAATACATTCACAAAAGACATAATAAATATTATATATTCTCAAATTTCTCAAAATTTATATCTTCAAAATTTTAATCTCTAAACAAAATATTTTATAATTTATATCTAAATAAAAATTTTTTTCTGTATATGTATGTTTATATAATTTACATCCAACATTTTACAACTTTGCAATTTAAGAGAAATAATTTGCATATATAATTTATGTACATTTTGAAATTTTTTGCTATTAAAATAAAGCAATTTTAATGTTTATTAAATTTATAATTTATTAAATAATTTTATAATTATAATTAATTAAATAATTTTAAATGCAAATTGCAAGAAAATGTGATTATCAAAATACGTTTCTTAACAATCATGTAATTAATACTGATATTAATCAAAAAGATATCAAATGATATTAATACTTTGTAATTATGCAAGTAATAACGCACAAATATAACAAAATTAATTCACTCACCGGTCGTTGAATGCCAGAGCTAAATACTCTCTTTTAGCTGTACCTAGAAAAATTAATATATTTTATTTATTAGAAATAGATTATAAATAGATTCAATGTATATTAATTATTATATATTATTTTATTATTTTTATTTTTCTGAATAGTAATTGTGCGTTTATATGTTATCACAATTACGTATATATTTAAATTATAAACAAATAATTGCACACACCAGCTAGGGCATTGTAGTTTGCTTCATCCGCCGCAGATTTCGCCAGAGACTGCTCCGCATTACCTCCATGGAAGAATCGATGAAAACCGGATGCTCAACTTCAATTAATTACACGCACTATCTAATGAGTCTGCCCGCACAATTCACTTACACGAAAATCAAGAATTAACGTCGTAAATCCACTATATTGTGATACACAAAATGCACTTTATACATTGCGACCATACATATAATAATTATAGTCGTTTATCATAATCTTATATATTCGGCAATCGATTCGACATTATACACGAAAGTGAGTAGGACAAACGATGATTATTTCAACAGTTGCACGTCGAAACGCGCATCTAACAAATACATGTTATCTGTTTAATTCTAACAAACTAAGGTTTTAACATACAACATATATTTTATAAATAGTACATCGCGCTTTAATTCTTTTAAGCAGTAGAGATTATTTTGCAAAAATAATAAAAATTTATGCTTACTGAAAACGTAACCTTCAAGCGTCGAATTGCCAGTTCGACAAAACGTCTTTAATTGCAAAAACTTACATTAAATAATATGTTCTGATAATTGCGCGTTATTTTAATCAGCACTCTCAATAAAAATTTGCAACTTTTGATGCTTTTTTAATAAAGATTGGTACGGATGAAATGCGATTAATTACAAAGTGTCCACATATTTCTTTTTGACGCCGTGAAAGAAAGTTCTAACGTCTGGTAAGATAGTACAAACTTTCTTCGAGAGATAGCGCGTCCGGCGGCTGGTAAAACTGCTGGTAACTCACCAGTGATAAGATAATGCGCGTAGAGCACAATTTTACCAACTATCGCTAGTTTCCTTCAAAACAAATGTAATGTGCGATAACGTTTTGCAACTAATTATCGTTTATTTGTACAAATCCACGTTAAAAATGCATAATGCGTAACAAATTTCTATTGAAAATGCCAATTAAAGCAACACGGGATTATAAAAATATAAATTATTTAATGCAGATTTTTGTGATTAAAAGCATTTTGTCGAACTAGAGAGAGAGAGAGAGAGAGAGAGAGCAAATTGACAATTTAATTGCGTTTACGGTAAGCTTAAATATTCATTATTTTTGCAGAATAATATCTTTACTCAATCGAATCAAAGCACGATATCTTATTTATTAAATATATATTTTACGTTAAAACCTCAGTTTGTCAGAATTAAATAGATAATACGTATTTGTTAGATGCGCGTTCCGGCGATTTCCGCGCAATTATTGTTGAAACAATTATCTGTTGTCTTGCTCGCTCTGAGTACGTGTATAATGTCGAATTGACTGCTGTAACGCGACAATGCATACATGCTATTATAATTATTATTTTACACATTTATAAGAATTATTTTGTGCGTTTGTAAAATCAGAATTTGTACTTGTCAAGATTCTAACCTGTTTGTATTATCGAATTGCCAATTCGACACGAAACATCTTCAATTGACAAAACCCGTTAAATAATACATTCTAATAATCCCACGTTGCTTTAATCGGTATTCACACAATAAAAGTTTGTAACATATTATGCATTTTTAACATGAATGGTACAGATAAAACACAATTAATTGTAAAACGTTTGCAAACTACATTCCGAATCGACGCTTTGGAGGAAACTAGCGATGGTTGGTAAGAATGTACTGTACGCGCATTAGTTTATCACTGGTAAGTTACCAGCAGTGTTACCAACCGCCAAAGGTGCTATCTCTCGAAGAAAGATTGTACTATCTTTCCGAATGTTAAAATGTTTTTCTCGGCGTTGACAAAAAGAGATATATAGATATCTTGTAATTAATCGTATTTCATTCGTATCAATCTTTATCAAAAATGCATCAAAAGTTGCAAATTTTTATCGGAAGTGCCTTATTAAAGTAAGCCTGCAATTATCAGAACGTATTATTTAATGCAGGTTTTTATAATTAAAGGAGTTTCGTCGAACTGACAATTCGACAATTCAAGGTTAAGTTTTTAGTAAGCATAAACTTTTATCATTTTTGCAAAATAATCTCCACTGCTCACAAGAATTAAAGCACGATATACACTTTATGAAATATATATTTTATTTAAAACCTTAATTTATTAGAATTAAACAGATAACACGTACCTTGTTACTGCTTGTTAGATGCGCGTTCCAACGATCTCCATGCAACTATTAAAGTAATCATCGTTGTCTTACTCGCTTCCGTATATAATGTCGAATCAACTGCTGAATATAATAAGATTATAATAAACGACTATAATTATTATACTTATGGTTACAATGTATAAAGTGTATTTTATATACTACAATAGCGGATTTGCGTTAATTCTTGATTTTCATGTAAGTGAATTGTGCAGGTAAACTCATCAGATAGTGCGTGTAACTAATGTGTGCAGAAAGTGTGAGCATCCAGTTTTCATCGATTCTTACATGGAGCTAATGCAAAGCAGTGGCAAAGCTCTGGTGGAAATCTGCGACGGATGAAACAAACTACAGTGCTCTAATTGGTGTGTTTAATTATTTGTTTATAATTAAAATATATACATAATTGTGACAACATATAGACGCACAATTACTGTTCAGAAAAATAGAAATAATAAAATAATATGTAATAATTAACATACATTAAATCTATTCATAATCTATTTATAGTAACTGAAATATAATTTTTCCAGGTAAACTGAAATAGAGTATTTAGCTTTAGCATTCAACAACCGGTGAGTAAATAGATTGAAATTTTTACGAATTTTTTTTATATGTTATTCATCAAATAAATTATTGTTATTAATTTCTCTGAAGAGATACTTATATGTTTGGGTGGGAACATAATGTTTTCTAAGAAACATTTTTATTTAATGTCTTTTATTGAATCAATATCAGTTACAAGCATTATACGTCAGCAGTGTAGATATCTGCGTGATGTTTCATTTTTTATTACTAGCAGATATTTCCTGCACATAAATTCACAAACCAAAATAATTATCTATTCCAACAACATCTACGACAGATGTCAGCCGTCTTTATTCCCAGCTAGAATAATTTCAATTTTATAATAACAGTAAAATTATACAAGATTTATTAATTAATATAGGTAATATGTTTTTGCCTGAGAGAGATAAATGTATAAAAAACATGCAATAATTTATTAATTATTGCTTTGATTTTTCAATTAGGTTTTGACGTTTTATTTTGTCAATTTTTTAAAATAAAATATCTATAAATTATTGTAAGCTTTATGAATGATTAGCATAAAAAGCAAAGATAAAAAATCAATTCATTATATTCATAAGAACATTAATAGACTCTAGGAAATAGAGACTTCAGTCTGTCTACAACTTTTTATCTCTCCAACGTGTAATTTACATTAATGACAAATTGTTGCAATGCGATGCTTTTATTTTACAATTATGACTAATTAAAATAACTATTAAAAAGATGGCTTTACTGCAATCTATAATCTTATGGTAAATGTAACACAATTATACAAATAATTTAAAGAGACGAAAGAATATTTAGTTACTTATTTATGATACTTAATATATGTATAAATCAATTAATTAGGTGCAATAATTAATGTTTTTTTAAATAATAATTGATATACGAACATATACACAGAGTTAAGGAAAAAACACTTGAATACAAGAATTATAAAATATAGAAGGAAATACAATCGAAGGAAATAAAAAATATAGTACAAAAAGATACATTTAGAAATTAATAAAATAAGAGATTCTTTACATGAGACAATCAGATGTCTTTCTTAGCAGAATAGTCGGGTTGCATATTGGATTATTAAAACATTTTATTGCTTAATGCTAAGTTTACAATTTAATAGTTAAATATTTATAAAAAATTAATCTAAATGAAAGTTCTTACTTCTACTTGATAATTTAATTATGAGAAACCTTTGTTATTATGATTATAATTAACTATTTATTAAGAATAATAAAAGAATCATTTCATTAATAATTTTTCATTGGAAAACAGCAGTAAAATATGTCACAAAATATTTGCTCACATTATACGAGCACGTTTTTTTCTTACATTCTATATTTTGTCGAGGACTCTCTACATCAATGCAACAGTGGCAATTGGCAACACTTTAATGACATTTCTACATTATCTGACGATCAAATTTTAAAAGATCATTAAAACGAAACAACGTGATGCTGTCGTAAAACCACCGGGCCGAAGTTTCCGCGTTTCTTTCGAAATGGCCTCGCGTGTCAAGTAAGGCGCGACGCGACGAGACGAACACGGCGACGATGACGCTCGAGTTGTAAAGAGACAGCACACTTCTACATTAGAAACCGTTGAAGCTTCGGTATAATATATTATCGGGCCGGACAACGCCGTGCCGCGGTCGTAAAATCACCATGCGTTCGGTAAATGAACGCGGAGACCCGTATCGATGGCTCCCGCACGTTTTCGAGATCACTGACGGAAAATATGATGGGGAATCGCGGAATATTAACGAGGGATGCTGGATCGCGCAGTAAACACTCGATGTAAACGTATCCGAGCCGGGACTCGCGTTAATTTGGTTTTACGTTACAGAGTGATTATACGTATTCCGGCGTAACGCAACGCGGTCTCGAGCGGCACCTTAATCCGAAACAAAGCATCCGTTTCAGCAAGACAGAGAGAGAGAGAGAGAGAGAGAGAGAGAGAGAGAGAGAGAGAGAGAGAGAGAGAGAGAGAGAGAGAGAAGGAGAGAGAAGGAGAGAGCATATGTGGGTGTGTTGTGTGCGATAGGACCGCACACATTGTCCCGTCGATGAATTCTCCATCCTCCCGTGCGATTGCGATGGAACGTTCCGGGCTAAGCTTCTCGAGGTCAGGAGGATACGGTATAATTATGTCGAACCACTTACGCGACCTCTTCGGCTACCTCGAATCAGAAATCGATTATTCTCGTTGCAGCCTCTCATTCTTCTTTGAATTCGTTTGAATTCTCAAGCCTTCTGAAAGCGCATCTTTCTAATGATTCGTAGATGTGAAAGTACATTTCGGATGGAAACTTAAGATAAAATAGATCGTCAATGATCTGATGGGAGCATGAATTATATAAGAAGCTATTTCTCTAAATTTGATCGTGAAAGGTTTTTTGCCAGAAAATTATTCAATTTTAATTGAAGCTTCCGTAAAATATGCCGATGTTTTGGCAATATTTAAAACTTTGTCTACTTTAATAATTTTCTACAACACTCTAATAGATGCAATTTTCTCCGCCATGTGTAGTAATCGATTTTACTGATTCGCGTCTCGTTGTAAATAACCGGTTCACAGATACACTGTCGTCAGACGCATAATCAATACCATAATATTTACGAATCGAAATACGCGTTACGCGGTCTGTTCCCGCGAATCGTAACTGTTACGTGAGCTGGAATGAAAATAGTGCGTGAATACGGTTTACTGA